CCCCCCCCGCCATTTCTAGCAGATGAAACTAAATACTGTACTTTTACGAAATAGCCTATAGAGACCAAAAGTGGAATTTTGGTGGAAGGAACGTGGATTTCACCTGGACTTGTAACGTGGATTCAACGTCGAATACCCATGTGACACCCACGTGGATTTGACTCCTTTCTCCACGATATTTCAACGTGGAAACCATGTTGATTCAAAATCCTTCCTCTTTTCAAACTTGGGGGGGAGCTGCACTCGGAACCTTTGAGCTTGAAGTCTTGTACCCTAGAGCAACTGAACCTATTTCGGATCAGCCCCTAGTTCCGATCAATAAGACCTACACACGCTCCCTTGATGAAATGTATTGGTGTTAATTTTGGGGGGAAATGTTTGTCGTTTTCTACCAGAAAACAACATTGCTTTGTCCTAGTGCAGCCCAAGCGGCCCAGTTGAACATTGACATTCATCGTTAAGGAGGTGGGAGAATGATGTGGTTTATTCAAATTGACATTACTTGGCATGTTCGCATAATTTTGCATGAACCCAGGTATCATGTCAGGTTAAAACGCGGGTGGAGGTCAAAAGTAACAACTTTTTAGGTCGAGTTTTGCGAGCAGCTTCGATTTAATGATGGTCGAAACTATTTTGGTGCTAACAACTTCGTTTTGTCACAGGATATTTCAAAGGGTTGCTTTAGGATCCATACTTGGTCATCCTGGACAATCTAGGACCATATTTGCCAATTTCACTGCACTGGATACGTAGATTCTGACTATAGATTCCACGTGGATACCACGAGATTTTCCCATGGGGTGAATGATCGAGTAGATCATCGACTGCCAAACGGTAGTACACTTCACGTAGAATGCACATTCATTCGTCCACCTACACCTGAAGTATCGACATAGAACGATCCTGGCATCCCCGGAACTGCAAAAATAATTTTAGTATGGTGCTAGTTAATTTTTTTTTAAGGATTTAATTTTGTTAACTTCTTTACAACAACTTGATACCCTACCGGGAATTGAACCTGGGACTTGCTGTTGACGCCTCTAACCACGACGCTGCCATAACAACTTAGGAGGAAGACTGAAACCTATCAGAAGCATCTATAAATCCCAACCACGTTGCATCCACATGGATTCTACAAGTGCCTACTAGGCGCTGCCGTTGGTCGCCCTGCCCTCCCAGTATGTTCTCTACGCCACTGTCCCGCCGAATTGCAAGATTTCAAAGCAACCAAAAAGAACAAGCAGCAAATAAGAGAAAATAAGAACATTGCTCTGCCCTATTCACAAATTTGTATCATCTGCTTTCAAGATCGATTCCTTTTTTTTTTTTTTTTTTACAGATAATTGTATCACCCAGCAAAATCGTTTCTCGTTTCAAGTAAATCTTTCGTAGTTCCAACTACAGGCTGACACAGGACCAAATTTACTTTTCAAACAAGCTGATATTTTCTTTCAAATAGGAGAAAAATCTTAATCCGGAGACAATATTGCCTTGTTTCAATGGTAGATTTAATCTTGTGTCAGCTTGCACTTAAATCAAGAAGCTATTTTCCTGGGTGTACTCCTCGTGGTCCCCTTCAATTCTCAGGCACTGCCTTAAAACACTCTGTTCCGAAGGTGAAGCCCTAGAATTTTCACCGGGTATGCAAGGGGTTGCTTTGGATTACCAGACGACAATTCTCAGGCTTCCTACAGGTTTTCAAGGCGGAGTCTGATACATCAAGGGTCGATATAGAACTTAAAATAGATAATACAACCTTGAAATCCAAGAAAAGCCTTTACCGTGTTGAAAATCAGGATGGTCGAGAACCGACATTCGCAAAGAGGAAACGGGGATCAAATACCTATACGTGCTCCAGCGCTCTCCGTCTTTCGTCGACGTCTGCACGAAGGAGTGGCCCAGTTGTGACTCTCCGTTCACGTCCAGGCGGAAGGGGAGCCCGGTGGCCTCCATGGCCTGAGACAGAACCTGCAGCGAGGGGTGGCGGAAGCGTTGCCACGACACGGGCTGTGGTCCAACCTGGGAGTGGTAATCTGTGCCCGGCGCAGATGGCATAATGTAGCGGCACTAATACCACCATTCAGGGCTCCGTAACTTATTACTCTTCTGTCTTGTTAAGATTTAAAGTTATAACTTCTAACTTTTACTGTAGTCCTTTAAAAATAAGCTAGTTACATAGAACGTTTTCCACAGTATGTACGGTTAATTTCGGACATACTTCAAAATAACGATAAGTTTAACTTTAGTGAGCCCTGTGTTTTGATACGTTTAGGGGGGTTATAACTTAAGTTGACCGTTTTGGCATTTTCTCAAAAGATATTTTTGGGGGGTCTTAGTTATGTGACCGTTGGCAATGTGTGAGTGAATTTTGTTTCCCCGCACCTGCCCTGCACCTCATTAAACAAAGAAACAATATCAGAATGTATCGGAATGTATACCTCTGGACCCATTTTCATAATCTTGGCAGCCTGCACTCTCATTTCCCTATGGATGTGCTATCCGTATGTTATGGAGAATTTTGTGCTAACGTATTATGGATCACAAATTATTCATAATATGGATAGCAATTGTCCGTATTACAGACAATTTGATCCATATTACAGATATGTCCGTAATACGGGCAATTTTATCCGTATTTTGTATAATTTGTGATCCATAATACGTTAGCACAAAATTCTCCGTGAGCGTGTCCATAAGGAAATAAGAGTGTGAACCTACAGGAAAGCGTTTAACCAATATTTGTCGGAGGAATCTTGCGCGCGAGCTTCCTAAGGAGGCAGACCTGTGAAATACAAGGGCTTAGGAGATATTTTATTCAAAAAAAACTACGAATCGCAGTAATATAAACGACAGACCATTTTATGAAGAATAAATTGGGCCAAAATTTGGAGTCTGCACATACAGGGAACGTCTCCCTGTATGTAACATTTTTTGTCATTGTCGCAGGTCCATCTGTTCGGCACAAATCGTGCACGACACGACAAGGTGCAACCGTCCACTTCGAAGCCAAGAAGACCGGGTTCCCGGAGGTGTGCACTGTATGTGCATGAGGGATTCTCAGAATACGGGCCGTTTAGATTCCGCGGCCCTTCACAACTATGTGATATGGTTTTAAAAGGGTGTACCATCTAGATACTCGAAAGTACTAACATTACCTGGTGCAAACCTAAGAATACTGCAACAGTGGGTGACTAGAGCAGTTTAAATGGTCAAAATGTGAACTCCAGTACGATCCTAATGTCCGAGTTCATGCGGACTTTGCCAAATTCCGGACAATTTTAAGGGAATAGTCATCTAAGGCACATTGCATTTTTGGAGTGACTTATCGAGGGAACGCAAGGAATGAATTTCGATGTGGAAATATTTTTCTATATTTCGTCACGAGACGACCAAAGTCGTTCTCACTAACTATTTCAAAAAGCAACGGAGCTCACAATGTTTGCACTGACGTCAAACTGGGCAGAGGTAGAGTAACAATTCTACGCCCACAGTACTTCTCTGTGGGGACTATTAATGTTCCCCGAAGCAATTGGCAGAGCTCCTACTTCGTCATCGTGAAAAACTGTCTGCAAATTCGAAAGTTGGCTTGTACGCTTTTGCAGTGTGAATACCGTGTCGCCTCCACACAGGCACGATTGCGTCAAATCAAATCCCTCTTTCGCTGAAAAGGAAGGTTTTGATGTGCTGCTTCTTTTGTGGCTAAGCGGATCCTTGCATCTGCATCCCCGGATTAGTAATGCTTCAATTAGTACCTTCTGACTTGTGAACTCCGTATCCCCTTCTTTAGGTCTGACCTTTGTTTAATAACTTTTAGGTACAGGGAACGCATTGTAATGACCTAATGAGGAAATATGTAGTCAGGGGTTAATTTAGAACTGTACATTATGAGGTTGGGCATCTGTGCAGCAGTGTCGGGGCGAAAAACAGGTTATTTATTGCAATGTTCTAGTCATACTAAAACGCATAAAATGGGGATGACTGGATGTAGAATATGAGTATAACACACTAGTGGAGCAAACAAAAGACCAATTAAAAGGTGCGGGAGGCAATACTTGAGTTTCATTATAGATTGAAAGTGGCCATAATGTGGTCTTTTAACGTTGTACTAGAAGTACGTGATTTGAACTATTGCCACTTCACACATATCCTATTTGAAGGTAAATAAAACCATTGCGACCAAAAAACCTAGCAAATTCGACAAAAAATAACAAAAATTTTAGGAACTCCCCAATGGCCCGTATTCTGAGAATCACCCGCATACGCCTAATTGTGGCCCAATTCATTCTTATGAACAGGATGTTTCGTTTATAACGCTGCGATTCGTAGTTTTTTTTTTTTTTTTTTTTAAAAATGCCTTCTACACTCTTGTCGACCCTCGTATTTCACAGGTCTGCCCCTTTTAAACACTCAACAGCTTTTCTGTAGGTTCAGGCTGCCAAGACCAAGAAAATGGGTCCAGAGGTAAATTCTGATGTTGTTTCTTTGTCTCGATACCTTAGACTACTGAAAGGGACGCAGTTCAGACGCCCGATCCAAGACTAACGAAGTTCAGACGCGCGATCTGAAAGACACGCAGTTTACCTCTCCAGAGATAGGAACTGCATGAGTCTTGGAACGGGCAGCTGAACTGCGTGCCTTTCAGTCTAAGGTATCGGTTTAATGAGGTGCAGTGAAACAAAATTCACCCACACATTGTTAATGGTCATCTAACTAGGGCCCCCAAAATTATTTATTTTTTCAGAAATGCGAAAATGGTCAACTTAGTTATAACCCCGCTTAAGTAACTAACACTCGTTCGTGTTAAGATAAGTTACGGAGCCTGTCACATGAGCAAAAACAAATGTGCAACTTCACATCTCTCAACAGGGCAAATCGACATGTCTCCGTATAAACCGATAGTTCCAGGCAGATCCGTACAGACACGCAGTTCAGCGGGTCCCCGTATAACGTCGTAAGTGCTTGAAAGTCACTTCTGAGATGTAGCGCTTCAAAGTTTTGGATTTACATTGCGCCTTATGGGCGGCTGGATTTTCAGACCAGAATTACTTTTGAACTAATTTACATATCGAAATGCGTTTTTCGCTGATCGATAGCCCTTGGTTTCCTCTATCCGACGCACTTCATAACTCGAAATTTTCAAAAACATAGTTACGACGCTATACGGCGGCCTGCTGAACTCCGTGTTTGTACCGAGCCCTCGGGAACTGCGTGTTTACATGGATCCTTCACGAACTCCGTGTGTATAGGTTTCAATTGTCGAAATGCCTTTGTTAGAGAATAGCACAAAAGCGAGGTGTGAAATTTACGACGTGTGATGTGATTTAGTACCTAGTTCCGTAGAAACATCTTTAACACTAATAACACTACTAATCGTGAGACCAAGCAACGTGTTGTAAGTGTGAAACGAACCTCCTCTCTTATTCTTGTGACAAACGTATGTGAGACTGAGACATGTGTGGCATCAATATTCTGATTTAGGCACACGTACACTGTAAATCCTTGGTGTTGAGCAGGTACGCGAAAAAGTCACGTGACCCAAAAAAAGTAGGCGACTTAAGTCGACTACCTGCTAAACAGCTTGCCTTTTCCGAGGTCTGGGCTATTGAACCCAAATACTCTGGATATCATTGGAGCCTGTAATACGTGGACACCTCACGTCTCGGATCAGTGGGTGACTTTGCGTTTATATCACCCCTATCACTCTCACATGCGTAAAATATGCTCCACTGGTATCCAATGCATTTGGGTCCAACAGCCCAGACCGAGACCTTGGGAAAGGCACCAATCTGGTTTATGGTTCAGGCGGCTTTGTCGCCTACCTGCTCGACACCAAGGATTTACAGTTAAGTCTTGCAGTTGCAACATCCAGAGAAGTGAAGTGCACTACAGAAACCATCGTACAGATACTTCAGTGACAGCCATGATACAGTTACAAGATTAATTGTCATGCATCTATCACAACCAAAGTTTAGTTCTCACGACCATCGTAATGTTGATTCAACTATAATTTGATAGCTGTCCCTGATTTGAAGCATACCGTTTTTCAAGCAGGTAGAGTAAAATCAAGCACTGTCTACAGTATGTTTTTCTTATTTTCCAAGCGGCTTTTCTCCTTTTTTTTCCAGCAGTGCACAAACCGGTGTCCTGCGCGATGGCCGGGTCCTGGTTGCTCTCGGCGCGCTTGTACAGAGCGAGCATGTTGGTGGAGTTCCATCCCGAGTCACCCGTGGCCTTGGCCCAGTCGTCGTAGTCCACTGAGCTGCCTCTGATAAACATCATGCCGTTGATAGAGGAGCCGCCGCCCAGGACGTAGGGCACCGGGAAGGAGCAGCCCGTGGCGTTACAGCTCTGGGGCTCGGCCGTGGACTTTAAAAAAACAGACGAAAACGAATCGACCGTTCAGATTGAGGTTCTTTATGCTGGCGAAAGAAACAGTCGTAAATAGGCCTTCGGCCCCTAAAGTCACAAATCCTACTTCCAAGGGTTTTATTTTGACGAGTTGACCCATCAGAGACCATGAAATATCTGAGAAAAAACATTATAATGGTTCGGGGTCATTTCCGTGTGGAAAACTCCCTCCAGCACCTAAACGGTGAGAGATAGAGCCCGCCCTTCTGCTTCAGAAAAGCTATCTAGCGGGCTTATGCAAACGATCTCGTGTCTGTGTGTCTGTCTGTGTGTCTGTCTGTTCCACTAGAAGGAGATGTGCTGGAGACTTCAAATTTTCAGGGTATCGTAAGATTCACTCCTAGAAAACGAAACGCCTACGGCAAATCCCGGCTACCACCCCTAAGGGGCTGAAAGGGGTTATCAAAGAAAGTGAGGTAGGTCAAAAAAGTCCATAAAATATATTTTTTTATGATCTCCTAAAGGGTAACTTGTCAAAGTAGAGCTTCAGGACAAAAACTTCGTCCGTTTGGCTCTATCTCTAACCGTCTAGGCGCTGGAGGGTCTTTTTTGACAAAAGTAACATAAAAACTGCTGTGGTAAACAATTATTGTAGAAGAAGGCGTAAAAACCGCAAAATAGGAAAGAAACTCCACCCCTCCCTCACCTCAAAAAACGTTATCTAGGCAGAAGGCACGCCAAAAACGCCGTCTTGGTTTTCAATCAGTTCGGGTAAAAACAAGACGCTCCCGTGTATTTTCTCCATAAGAGTTGCTCGGCTGCTTGAAAACCAAGACGTCGTTTTATCCGTGGGGTGGGTTGTAGTCGCGGTGCTTCACCGTTACATTCCTTTCTCGTGTCTACGGGGCAAATGTTAAAGACGACGGGTTTTAGCGGGCCAAAAGCCGGTTACATCATCTTTACACATCAAATTTAGCAAATCAATTTTGCTGGAACGGGTTTTTGAAATACTCGAAGACAAAGTTTCTTGGGTAATTCACTGTGCATATGTGATGCATTGGCTAACTGATGTGACCCTTCCGGAAGGGAAATGGGAAAATACTACTAATTTTTGGATGTCTGCAACTGCACACCACAGCACAAAATATAACAAAATTTTGTTATCAGAAAAGAAATATTTGTAATGCGACGATAAGAAAATTTGTAACATCTTCTGTTACAAAACTTTGGAACCAAGAAGCAAATACTTGTAATCCGTTGTTACGAAAATTTGTAACCTCGTATGTTACAAAAATTTGAAATCTTGTAACTGAAAAAACTTTATATCAATGTTACAAAATTTTGCCCTGATTTTTTTAAAGTGTCTATCGCTCACACTGTTTCTCCAAAGGCAATGAAAGTACTACCTTTTGTGACAACGATGCAAGAAGTATTACCTTTCCAGCGGCAACGAGTGGGTCATTGCCATTCCACAGGCAGTGTTCATTGCCAATTTTGGCAATGAGCTGAAATAATTTTTCAACGTTCTTCTTACAAGGAAAGGTTTGCCGGTGATACAGTCAGATTTCAAAGGCACTTCAAATAGTAGTCGTTTGCACACCTAGATAAGGATTGGTACTGGTTTTAGCTGCCCGTAGGGGGTTTGGAGGTCATTTCACGTGAATGTCATCAAAAATTTCCTAAATTCATCCCTTTTCTGACATCTTTGCATGCTCATATCCCCAGAATCGTTTGAGCTAGATTTTGCAGGTAATTATCCTTCAGTTAGTACTTTCTACGAAAAACATTTGAACCAAATCAATGGGGGTCACCAAAACGGGTCTAGGATCGCAACCTCCTCTCGGGACCCGTTTTTGCGACCCTTATCGATTTCGTTCAAATTTTCTACAAGTAAAGAACGTGCTAAGTTATGATTTCCGTCAAAATCTGGGCGCTGTAGCTCAAACGATTCTTGATATATGTGCATGTAAAGTTAATAAGCAGGCTACAAATTTGGCGAATTTTCAATTAAATTCGCGTAAAACGACCTTCAAACTGCCTATGGGCAGCTACAACCAGTGCAAAACCTAATCTAGGGATGAAAACAACAACACTTTAAAGCGGCATTGAAATCTGACTGTCACCGGAAAACCTTCCCTCGTTAGTTATAAGCAGTTTCCACACTGCCGATCTGTCGGCATTGAAGGTTCCTCGCCAAAACTGTGGCGATGAACTTTAATTGCCGGCAGTGCGGCAGGGTATTCGAATTGACGATAAGTTTAAGGGGAACTTAGATATTTTTTTTCCGACCATTGCCAATTTTGGCAATGGATACTGCCTTTGGAATGGCAATGACCGACTCATTGCCGCTGGATAGGTATTACTTTTGTTGGCTGAGCGATTAGCGAAGCCCATTACTCCACTGACCGAAAAAGTTTCATTCTCTATGTCTGTTTGTCTGTCTGTATGCACGATAACTCGAGAAGGAATTATAGGGTATATAAGGTATTATAAAAAGACAGATCGAGTTCGAAAATGAGCGTTCCAGCTCAAAAATTGACTTTAAAAAAAAAAAATCAAAAACCACAGGTCGCAAAATGTATTTTTTATCGAATATTTTTTATGGGTTTGTAAGGGGTAGTTCGTAAAAATAGAGGTCTCTGGGAGAAAAGTTTGTCCGTTTCACTCTATCTTTTACCGTTTGGGTGCTAGAGATCATTTCTTAACGAATATATGGTGCAAAAGACCGATTGGTCTATTAAATCGTAAAACAGGCTTCATATCAAAAAATTGAAAAGGGATTAGTACTTTAACCACACATTTCGCGCCAAACTACACCATCTTTTAGGGTCTAGATGCCCTGGATTATCCACTATGACTAAACCGCGCTACAACGTTGATTTTATAACGATAGGGTATTTCAATGGAGCGCGGGGCGGTGGTAAGATAGACAAAAACGGAAGGCATTTGTTGGGGACTTTTTACTCTACAACAAATGCTGTTAGCATAGCATACCCGGGTGGAAGGATCTTCACTTAGACTATAGTTTAAACTGTAGTGTTGAATCTGAAGTCATCAAACTCCATTTAAACTGTAGAAAAAAGTCGGTAATTTCTGTAGTTTATTCACGACTGCAGTATTGGGCTTTTGTAAACAGTTAGTCTGCAGTCAGACTGCACTTTTTATGTTGTTACATACTAAAGTTCCAATTTGCACTTGCGAGTTTAGTTAAAAGACATTATACAAACAAGTATCCATCCGTTGTTTAACTACTGAGTAAAAGTGTATTCTAAATTACACAGTTAATACGCTGGAATAACATTCTAAAC